TTATCTTGAAGATAAGAATGCTTGGCAGCATGTTGGTTCGGCTCCACTGGACAATACTCAAATGTAGTCAGTAGCTAAATTCCAATAGTAGGTATTTTAATACATAATTTAACACTTTAATTCTAATGTAGACAATCTAGTTTCCTTATGGCATCGAGCATTTCTTATTGAAACAAAGAGTTTCCTTTTCTTGTATAGAAGCACTAATTCTATGGATTGTCAGTATGCATATGTGAGCACCATGTTGGATTTTAAGTTAATTTTTATTAATTTTTTTTTTTTTTTAATTTTTGTAAGTTATTAGTATAATGCGTCAAGCGTGTCTTTGCATTGTTCTTACATATGCGTACAGTATTGAAATATGTATCAGAGACATTGTAGAACAGACTTTTTTTAAAAAGAGTAACGAATGGAGTTTCTTGCTCGTTCTTCTCCATTCGAATCTACTTTTTGGAATGAGCACCTAGCTTCACCTAGTTTCACTGACGGACTGACTGACAGACTATTATTTATTTTGTATTTGTTGACGTTTCAAAAGCACCAAACTATGGTTTAATTGAAATAAATGCTTTGACTTTGACTTTGACTTTGACTTTATTCCCACACTAGGATTTTCTCCTGTGTCGTGGGTGCGTTTACAAACATACAAATTCACATATATATGACACCCAGACACGATACAATAATTTGTGGATCACACAAAGAGTGGCTCCGTGCAAGATTCGCACCCACCGTGCACTAAGACTAGTAATGAAAAGGTCACGGATTTTGACATGATAAAAAAGACGTAGATAGCGATACAAAGTTACACCCACTTCTCCTCGTTAACCGGACGATTTCAATTTCAAAGTTCACGTCAGAAGTAGATAGAAGAAGGTACAGTAGCAGCGCGACAGTCGCCGCGTCGCGGGTCGTAAATTGCTGCTCATGAATATGAGCCTCTAGTATGACTTGAAACTGGTCGAGTCCCTCGTCAAATAATTACGTGAGTAAGCCGAAGAAAACATAATAATATATTCACGTCAGAACTTACAAATCGGCCTTTTGTTTACACAGAAATCTAACTTGAGACCAAACAAGATGGCGGTTACACTTCTATTTATTTATTTATTTATTTATTGCAAAATGTACATACATAGCGGTATTATACTACTAGCACAGTACATCACCCTGTTAGGGCGCAGCAATTTAACTTATAAATAATAAATAAATAATCATCTAATATAATCATTATTAACTTAATTATTCACTATAAATTTATTATTATTAAAATTTGTTATCACTTATATACCTATATGATACAATTATATTATTCTATTAAATTGATCAACGAGGATATGCCTAAACAATCAATTATCTAGTAAACACAAACACCTTAAAACATTTTAACTACGTCTACAAACGCTTTTAACCTCCTTCAGAAACTAAGGGGCAATGTCTCCATAGAACAGCTAAAAAGGCACCACTTATTATGTTGATTTACGGATATAGCTCATAACACAATAGCATTAGTGTGCTAATGGCTCGCACTAATGTAGTCCATTACAAGTCGTCATACAAGACGCACTGCTTCAGTGACCGTGGTAATCAACTAGGGGTGCGAAAAGTAGGTCGGAGTTAGGGGTGTCACAATTTACGAATTTATCTATAGATACAGATAAATAAAATTTGTGTGTCTATTTGTAATATTAAAATAACCGCTTTTTACAATGAATATACATACGATACACAAAATATATTTTTTTTTTACAATATTTGTCTGTCCGTCTGTTTGTACTGGCTAATCTCTGTAATGGCTGGCCTGATTTCTTAAGACTTTTATTGGCTGCATAAAGCTGATATCATGGAATAACATAGACTACTTTTATTTTGGAAAATTGAAACAAAAGAAAATTATATTCTAAAATTCATATTCTACGCGGACAAAGTCGCGGCCAACAGCTAGAACATCATGTAATTTGATTTAAAAGTGACTTGTCTTATCAAAGTCAAAGTCAAAGCATTTATTTCAATTAAACCACAATTTGGTACTTTTGAAAATAATAATAGTCTGTCAGTCAGTAAGTTACTAAAGTTAGGTGAAGCTAGGTGCTCATTCCAAAATACTTACAGATTCGAATGGAGAAGAACGAGCAAGCAATTCCATACGGTACTCTTAATAAAAAAAATATGTTTTACAATGTCTCTGATACATATTCCAATACTGTACGTATATGTGAGAACAATGCAAAGACACGCTTGACGTACACATTATACAATTATTATGAGTTTCGAATGCGACGAAACTTAGAAAATGCACTGTTGGGAAAATTTTCAATAGAAAGGCCATCAAAAAGTAAATATGACGTCAACCTTTGGGCAGCTAGTCACTTGAAATTTGAAGACTAATTTTTTGACACATTCGGTGCATTTTAACAATGTTACTAGGTCCCACGTAAATCAGGCCATAAGAAAGAATATTTCGGCTAAGAGAAGTGTGCCAACCTTAGCAGAGTCACGCAATACGGTAATCAGTAACAAATCTCTACTAATCTGATTACCTGCCGCCCGCGTCACTTTCTTTGTTGGTCACTCCTTGCAGTAGTTTGTCTTGCTGACGACTACGACCTATATACATCACTACACAGTATAAAACAAAGTCGCTATCCACCGTCTGACTGTCCCTTTGTATGCTTAGATTTTTAAAACTTGGATTTTGATGCGATTTTTTTTAATTGACAGAAGGATTCTTAAGGAAGCTTTATATGTATAATACATGCATATTGCACCCGTGCGAAGCAGGGGCGGGTCGCTAGTAGTTCTATAAAAAAACGTCGACAGTGTATACAAATTAAAAATGTAATTAGTCCATTAGTTAGATACCTAATGAAAAAATATTACACACGTATTTTTTATTTTGTCGTATAAGAAAACAATACTTAGATAAAACGAAGTTAAGTTTAGGAGTAGGAAGTCGTTACATCACGCTACCCTATAAAATGTAGTAAATCGTGACGGCAAACGATATTTGAAATATATCGTCGAAAGTATTTAATTTTGTAAGAAAAGGAATAATATGTGTCTAATATTTTAAAATAATCTACCAGACGGACATTAAAATAAAATTTAAGGATACTACTCTATTGTTTGATTGTTAGTTTGGGTTAACAAGCACTAAGGTTTATAAGGGATACCAAAATGTTATTTAACCCTTTGAGTACCGTCATTATAGACACAATTAAAGAACAATTGGTTGCCGTCACCGGTGTCCTTGCCGTGTTTGACAGTTTCATTTTTATATCAAATGTAATTTCCATTTTAAGACCATAGTAGCTAAGTATGTATGAAACAATAATAAATGCCAATCAGTAGGTTTGCCAATAATTCACTGAAAGAATGTATTGGAGACAGATTTTTTTTAAGGGGGGAAAATCATCGAATGATGCTCTCGCCTGGGTGAGGCGGGAGGGAGTGTCAGACTCTTACTGACTAAAAACCACCCCGTTCCTTCTCCTGCATGTCGAGCCGGAGCCCCGGTTACCCGTTAGGTTCTCCGCGACATTGGAGACAGACTTGAGTGAGCCTCGATTTAGTTAATAGCGAGAAACAGCCAATAACTATAGGAAACAGCGAAATCTCATATCGGAGGTCAAAATTTACCATGAGTTGTTTAATGTTTAACCAATGGAATACATAAGTTAAACGTGAAATACAAAACAAAGCAACATACCGGCCGAACGTATAACCTCCTCCTTTTTTGAAGTCGGTTAAAAATAAGCTCAAAATACAATACACTACAATCGACATATGTAGTAGGCTGTAGGTAGGATGTCACAACATGATAGACTATGACACATTATGATATATATACATACTAGCTTTTACCCGCGGCTTCGCTCGCGTCACAAAAGGATAAAAAGTAGCCTATGTGGCATATACCAATATATACAGCGCCATCTATACCAATACTTTTGTTTTCCCTCGGGAATATCAAATTTTTTCGGGATAAAAAGTACCCTATTATTTAACCCAGACTACTAACTTTACGTCTGCAAAAATTCAATGCAATCGGTTTAGTAGTTACGGCATGAAGTCGGAACAAACAAACAAACTCACTTTCCGATTTATAATATTAGTAAGGATGTGTCATTTGAATAATGTTTCCGGCAATAATATAACATGTATGATTGCCCCCTGAACTGACACACTGATTCGTTAACAACTCAATCAGTGTAAATCTGTGGAATGTCTGTCATTATAAGGAACACGATGGCATTGACTGATGATTGCTTGTTGCACGCAACCTCATGGTTTTCGGTATAATAAATATTGAAGACAATGTTTACCTTTATTTTATTCGGGTGTTATCGTAAACTTAAGAAACTGGCCTAGTGATTTGTGTAAGAGTATGAGTTAATAGAAAAATTCATAAACGGACATGAAAAAAATTAAGTCAAAGCATTACATAACATCACGCCTTTTATCCCCGAAGGGGCAGGCAGAGGTGCACATTATACCACTGTACAATGTAACACCCACTTTTCACTATTTATGTTATGAGTCCCATGTAATAGGGGGTGAGCCTATTGGCATATACCGGGCACAATTCCAGACTTCGTGCTACTACTGAGAAATTTTTAAAAAGCCAGTAATACTTTGCCCGACCGAACCGACCGAATCGACCCCGAGACCCCTTGCCCGGCAGTCGCACATGCGACCACTCGGTCAACGAGGCAGTTAAGTCAAAACTTTTAACATCATCCCATATTTTTCCCTTTTTTCTACTTAGTACAATGTCGAGTGCATAGTATTAAAATATTCCAAAAATATGTAAAAAATATCTAAATGTCGGAGTTATTATTTAAATTACCGCAGGTACAAGTTTGCTTAAAATGTAGTTACCAAAATTGTATTATTATCTACACAAGTTGATGAAATAACATATTTATTTTATTTTTATCAGTCTGACGTTATATATACACACACACACACATACTTATACACACCTTTTTATATCTTACCTGCTATTAGTAGAATTAACAGAAGTATTGGACCGACTTCTGCGGTTACAGATGGAGTCCCCGCAGTTGACGACACCTCCCTTGGTGGTGATGCTGAAGGTACGGAGCCGGTACAAGTCGTCTGACACTCGAGGGTTGTACGGCTTCTCTGGCAGCGAGCAGACACGAGGCCGGGAGTGTTCCACCACTGAGGAAGAGGAATTAAGAATTTAGAATGAGAACCTATATAGAAGTAATATGAAGACGACTCAATAGTTATCTTCATAAAACAAAATACAAATGTGTCATATTACATTAATTTGACGCAAAACAAAAAAATAACAACAACAGACATTTGTATTTGGATTTTATATACATGCATAACTTCACGCCTGTCTCCCATGGGGGTAGGCAGAGACTATGGAACGCCAATTGCTACGAGTCCTACATACCGCTTTCGCTTCATCAACAGTCTTTTTATGGGCCGTTAAACATGCATGTTCGTCGGTTAAGGGTACTTTTAAATTGGCCCTTCTTGAATATATCGAATATATCACCAATCGGGTCAGTATATGTCCATCTAGGGCGCCCTCTACCAACGGCCCCATTCATATCCGCTCTCTATACTTCATCCGTTACTCTACTTTCATCCATTCTTTCTACATGTCCAAACCAGCGTAACACAATATTTTGTTTTTATTTTTCGTAAACAAAAAACAACATTTCCTTACAACGTCTGATTAAACCAACTAGACCACATACGCCTTTTAGAATATCAAACTTCGCACTTCAATTTCGTCCCGTATTAAATGAGTGTGTTTACAAACATACAATATTTTCACACCACACCTAGACCTGCTTGTGACTCGTCACTGTATTTTAAATCATATAATTTTGTAGACTGCCTCGTTGACCGAGTGGTCGCATGTGCGACTGCCGGGCAAGGGGTCTCGGGTTCGATTCCCGGATCGGGCAAAGTAATAATGGATTTTTTTTTTAAATCTCAGTTGTAGCACGGAGTCTGGAAATGTGCCCGGCATATGGCAATAAGTTCACCCCTATTACCCCCTCATAACATAAATAGTGAAAAGTGGGTGTCACTTCTGTGTGCACCTCTACCTACCCCTTCGGAGATAAAAGGCGGGATGTTATGTTATGTTATGTTAATTTTGTATATCTTATAACACGGTTTTTATTTTTACCATACATCCTATCTGTAACTGATGCTGAAGTGTTTTACACTTCAAAACAATTCATGGCCCTATTTATACCGCATGCGATTTATGTAGGCAACATACTAATGAAGCCGGTAAACGAACAGACGGATCACCTGATGGCAAGCAATCGTCGTCGCCGATGGACAATTCTTCAAAAAACATGGGAACATATCAATGTAATATATTTTATTTGAAAGTAATAGACAGGGGCTTCTTTTATACATTACCAATATTCTTTCGCTATAGTTCCTTTTGTCAAACTTGTGTTATGAAGGAAAATATATTAAAGAGAGTATTGTTAACAAATATCAAACTATTGTAATATTTTGTATTGTACTATATTCTTTTTGTAAGTATTCTGATATTCTTTGTGCTAGTTAATTTGTTTATATTATTGAAGAAAACTTTACTTCTTTTCAGGGTACCGCAACTAAATTGTATCATATAGTTCTGTCTGTAAGCACGGGCCTGCGAACGGCGAGCAAGGGTATCTCGCCGCTCGACCAGAACCAGACCCGAGTGTATAACGAGCGCTCAAAGAGCCATCAGACCACCACAAATGGGGCCCAGTAGGGCTGATGCCAATACGGAGCCGCGAAAGTCTTAACGGGTTGCCATGCCTCAGGCTCGTAGAGCAGGAGTAGGAACGGGATGGTTTTTAGTTAGTAAGAGTCTGACACACCTTATCGCCTCACCCAGGCGGGAGAAGTCTTCCATGATTTGTGACATGTGACAAAGATAACCAATTGTACAGTCCTAAAATGACTGACGTACATATTTTGTTTCTATGAATACCGCTACAATATAATAAATCAGTGAGTGCAATTACAGCTACGCGGTAACTTAAATTAGAGAAAGGAATCGTCAACAGTTTTATTGTAAACACTAGCTGACCCAGCAAACGTTGTTTTGCCATATAAATAATTACTGAAATGGCTATTAAAAAATAAGGGTTGTTCGTAGAAGGGTGAAAATTGAGGATTTTAAAAATTTTGTTTAAAAAAAAAAATAAAAAAAAAATTATGTTGGCCGATTCTCATAGATACCGGATAAGCACAAAAAAAATCATCAAAATCGTCAACCCGTTTTGGAGGAGTATGGCAACGAAAATTGTGACACGAGAATTTTATATATTAGATAATAATTAAACGTTCTAAATCTAACTAAGTGAATCTTTTCTCTTCACGCTCCAACCTCAACAATATCTCTACAAGTGTACGCACACTACACCAATTGATTGTTATTTCCTCAGAACTTTGTAATGTCATACAGTTACTTGAAGATTTTGAAACATATTGAGTAATTGTTTAGTAATTTGGTTACTGATCACGACGCATTGATTCAATCCGATTTCAATTGTTTTCCATAGAATGTTTTTGTATTATTTTTCCAGCACATTATAGTAGGGTGACCTCTTTTACAAGATTATCTATTTTTCTTTTGCTGCGGAACCTTTGTATAATATCTTTTGTTATCATAATAATAAGAATGAGTTTCTCTTCCAGTAATGTGACAATAATTTGCCGGTGTCTAGACTACTAAGTATATGACCTGTCGTGACCTTTCATAATGACGAAACAGTGATACTTTGATCATAATAATAACAACAAAACAATGTACATTTTCTAAATATGTGTATCTTAACTTTCCATTTTATTACATTATGTTAAAGTCAAATTCATTTATTTCAATTAGACTTGGAAGGCACTTTTAAACGTCAAAACAAAAAAAATATATTGAAAATGTCAGTTTGTCGGTCAATCCTCTAGTGAAGCTATTTGCTCGTTTCAATGTGTAGATTACTATGGAGAAAAACAAGCAAGAAACTCTATAGGTTACTCTTTTTCAATCAGGTTCACAATACAATTCTTGGCTACATTGATCCGTTAGTTCAGTTATGTGAGTACAATGTAACTCCTGTCGAAGATATGTCCACCCGCAGCTTTCCGGCATGGTCAAAACAATAATAAATCATACACCAAAATCCTCCTCAGATATAACATTGTCTCTTGCAGATTTCCTCTCCCAGTTTTTAATTTTAAATCGCGTTCCTTTTGTAGTGACGATAAGGTTGAAAATCGATTTAAACTTAGTAAGTAAGCTAAGAAACGGGTTGCCGGGTCTGTGGGTCGAAGTACAGGAGTAGAAACGGAGTGGTTGTTAGTCAGTAAGAGACTAATACTAAGACTAGTATAGACAAAGAGACAGAATATTTCCTCTCGCCTCAGCATCGGGAGAAATCATTGGATGATTTTCCCCCCCTTAAAGAAAGCTAAAAATAGAGTTTAGTTATAGTAGCATTTTATAGAAGTCTTTGACAAGCAGTGAATAGAAACAGACAGATTATAAATCAAAACAAGGTAACCATAACCATATTACATAAGGTTATACGAACCAGAATACAAACCACAGAATTCCTAAACAAAACTTTATGAATCCCAAAGTTTATTCGAAACAGTGCCCTCATCTTCAATAATTTGTAAGAAACAAGTATATAATGTAATTAGTAAGTTTTCGCTTATGAATCCCTTTGGAAACTTTGTTCGGTATTAGTTTTACTAATTTGAAATAGTGATGTCCAAGTGGGAGCCTCGAAGTTGACTTTGTGATCGTTCATCGCGATATTGAATATTGGCGTTTGCCAGTGACTTTGCTCGCACGTTTTAGGAGGGAATAAACCACCGCGTTTGTAATCCCACTCTTGGAGCCGGAGTCCCGGCACCACTTTAAGTCTTCTGCGGCTCCGTATCGGGCATCAGCCCTACCCATCGTCTATTAAGGAGTTGGGCTGCCCCCAACTCCCCCAACTCAATTTACAAAAAAAGCACGAATCTTTTATTAGTCTCATGGTAAGCAATTGGCGCCGCCCATGGACACCTGAAACACCGAGGCGTTTCAAGTGCGTTACCGGCCTTTTGGAAATTAGGAATTTGAGGATTGTGGAGGATTCGGGAATTGGGGAGACTAGGGAAGGGGGGAGGGGGCGTAATTGGGCCTCCGGTAACCTCACTCACACGATGAAACACAACGTAAGCGTTGTTTCACGCCGGTTTTCTGAGAGGCCGTGGTATCACTCCGGTCGAGCCGGCCCATACGTGCCGAAGCATGGCTCTCCCACACTTTAGGGAAGTGGGGGGGGGGGGTTATAAAGAGATAAAAATAGCCTACGTCAGTTTCCGTACCTTAAAATATTTCCACTTAAAAAATGACTGTTATTCGTCGCTCCGATTTGCCGCGAGAGACAAACAAACAAACAGACACACACACTTTCCCATTTATAATTTAGGTATGGATTTTGAACTCTGGTCTGAACTTTGAATTAAAGCTTTGATGAACTATTCACAACTCTATCTTCTTAGACTGGGGTCAGTTCTGTTGATTTTAAGGTCTTTTGCCTTGATTTGTTGATAAAACAGGATTAGGGTGCAGTTATCATTAGCTTTTTATGTTAGGTTACAAATTTATTAATAGGGCTTGTTTATATTTTATGACTCTTACTGTCTATGAGCATAACCGTAAATACACAGAAACTGGCAACAATGCGCATGTAATAACGAGTACCTATTCTTGCTGTAACTGAGAATTTTAGATGAGAAAAATAAATATTATAATTATTAGGTTTTTCGAATTTCATATATGTATTTGGTTAGAACTAACGAGAGCTTATGTAAAGAAACAAGTCGGTACGGGTAAACAAATCTGTACAGGTTGGTATCGATCGGCGTAGGTCTAATAAAAAAAAATTAAATTAAAATTAATAATATAATCTTGGTTGATCTTGACTGAGCGGTTAGTGCAGTGGTGGGTAAGCTGGCTACTGGCTGTCGCTTAGCGTATAGCGGGTTCGATTCCCGCACGGAGCATCTCTTTGTGTGATTCACAAATTTTTGTTTCAAGTCTGGGTGTCATATTGTGTATGTGAACTTGTATGTTTGTAAACGCACCCACAACACAGGTAAACATCCTTGTGCCCCGCACAATGTTTTTTTTT